ACGAGATATTGTTTACAAAATAATTACAAAAAGGACAAATGTTATTATTATAAATATTAAAACATTCAGAAGAATTTTGTTGGGTTTAATCTTCATTTAATACATTAGGCAAATATACCCCTTTAAGCCTTTAAAATATATAATAACTTTTAAACCTAAACTCTGGGAAACAGATAAAGTCTGACGACACAGGAATGAATGATGTGAAATCATACAATTTCCTTTAAAAAGGGTCATTACATCAACATCCATTCACTAAAAATACCCCAGGACAGCCAGATATCTACCTACACGCAGTTTGTTACTCAATTTAATAAAAAAAAATCGTAAGATTCAAAGCTCTGTAAAGTTATTTTTAGATATCTTTAAGTATCATCATTCTTATTAGAGAACTGAGACTTAAAATGGGGTTGTTTCATCGAGGAAAGGTTGACTTTTAAACTTTGATTGAGTTTTAAAATACAATTTTTGGATATATCAAAAGAAGTCGTAAGAATTTTCTTTTCTCTTTTTTTTTTTTTAATAAACAACGAACATCATTTTTGTACGGTTGATGTAATGACAAAACAACCAATGAATGAAAAGTAAAACCTTATTAACTATCAAACGAAATTAATATGGTTACAAACAACTAATCCAGTTATAGCGTGCAATTGATTTGGTAAAATAAATTTTTTCAAATTGATAACCATGGAGTATTTATGTAACATACATATTCACTAATACCTATGTGCGTGAAAAACATCCCAAAATATAAAACTATGTGAAATGTGGGACGAAGCAATAAAAAGGGAAGTTAAATATGAGGAGAGGTTGGGGAGGATGAAAGAGGAGGTATAGGGAAGAAAATATGAAAGAACAAGGGGTAATGGAAATAGGGGCAAAAAGTAGATATGACGGAGACGGTTTAAAAGTAAAACGGAAGTAAGTGCGGGAGTGGTTCAGGAAACGGACAAAGATAGGAGAATTGGTGAGGAATAGATGCAGCGAAATAATAAAAAGGAAAGATTTGAAAAAATAAAGAGGCCTAGATATGATATGTGGTTATTGACTTACATTTCATAATTTCATATGGAACGGTCCCTTTTATCCTGAGTTGTCCTGCAAAGAAAAGAAACATGCGTTCTAAAATACAAATTAACAAACAAAAAATCATTTTCAAATACAGAAAAATGAGACTTCGACGCCAACAACTAAGGAGTATACCTAAATAAGAAAAATGTGTGCATTTTTTTAAAATCGTATCTGAAGAAGGTATACTATGCCAAAATAATTATCACTGCGGTAATATAAAATAATTTGTTGTTATTTCTATTTACGTTAAAAAGACATTATTCATTGCTCAGCTATTACTGTGAATATCCTGGAAACGAAGAAGTTATTTTCTTAAAAGAACCATCTGCATTAATATACCTTCTATTAAAAACAGTAAACTCTTTGAGTACGGAACAATTCAACTTAACTTTAAAGTTATTAAAATTAAATGCATCGTAAGTCAAAGGTATTTACAGTGTACATTCAGTCAATTTTTTGATATTATTATTAAAGCTAAATTAACCCTTAATTTTAAAAATTCTATTGTTGGGCATATCGGACAAACCGTCTATCGAAAATTAAGCTAAACGATCGAACCATCGGAAGTATTTCTAGCAGAGATTTTTTAACGTAAATGTATTGGGGTAGATGATAGGAAAGGCCTTTCAATTTGTAGATAATTTTTTCGCACAAAAACTTCCTGGAAATCATTCTTCTTTGAGATTTTTTCTAGATTATTGTTTAAATAAAACAATGAAGCGGATTTTTTTTTTAACTAAAGATGAAAGGCCTTTTCTATCATCATCCCCAACACATTTATCCAAAACAACTTCTGCTACGAATTGTTTTATTTTCAATTTTCGTAAATATTGATTAGTCTAATATTATGTCAAATGCGAAAGTCAAAGTTAAAAATTAGACGAACCAACCAATTTTTTCTAGGTATCAATTGATGTTAAAGGGAGGGGTCACATACTTTCTTCCAGAGACCTGTTTACCATTGTTTACAATGGTCCTGTCCCGAAAGTACAATTTTCCTGGTTTCACGGACGAATGCGCGGCATAAGCTCGCACGTAAGAAATCGCATTTACTGTTTATTAGGAAAGTATCTTAACATCTTAACAGGAAGTTGCCACCTAGTAAAATCCTTTCCTGGTAAGTAATAAATGCGATTTCTTACTCGAGAGAGAATGTTGCATTTTAATGGAAAAACTTTGGTACATTCAGTAGGATGTAATGAAAATAATTTTTTACTTTCCACAATCATATGCCAAATAATACAGGATATTAACTAAAGTTAACATGCATATAGAAAAAATCATACTCAATTTAGTTTGATTTTATGTTATCCTTGGCTGGTCCAGAACGACTTGCAAATGTTGAAAAAGACGAACAGAACAACTACAATTAACAATTTTAAGTTCTCATTACATAATATAACGCTAAAATACAACACATTACTTAAATTTCTTAACGAGTCCCTAGGACAATTGCAAGGGCAGTTATCGACCTTTCAAGCGAAAATACTGTACTTATATAACATTTAGGAAGGACACATTTCTGAAATTGTAAATCAATAATATAAATCAAAAAAGCATTTGTAGAAAGATTTTACAAAATTTTAATAAAAGAATTCTCCTACAATATAATTAAAAACCTTTCAACAAGTGTGTGATAACCATTATCGATACAGCAAACCATACGTGAACGGACGACCGACATGTTGGTTATTCTGTCGATATTGATTGATATGAACAGCGCTAAAGGACATAGGACGATAAGGATTATTTTTTGAGGGTATATTTGTATTAATGAGATACGTTAATCCTGAAAATTTTAGACTTCTGTCTATTTTGGTTTTTGAATAAATCCAAAAAACTGAAAAATCAGAAAATATTGTTTTTCTCAAACATGGCTTAATCGATTTAAATGAATCTTTATAATAATCATTAAAAACAGGCGATTTTTTCCGAAATTTGTTTTTTCTTTCTGTTAACGTTCTAGAACAATTTTAATTTTTTTTTTTATGTCTTAAAAGGTAGAACAACCTCTCAAATGGTTAGATCGATCAAAAAGATTTGCTANTCCGTAAGCGCGAGGGACAGAAACCGATAAAGGTTATTTATTTAACTTGACGCGACGAAGAAATCGTTTTTATTAATTTTGCTAAATTAATTTGGTTCAGTGTTAGGTACAGTAGCGGAGTGTCCCATTGACTAATGGGGAAAAATGATTTATTTAATCGTAACGTATTCCGCGAGCTCGCCTCAAACTGGTTCTAATATCATTTTGTAATGATTTATTCCTTTCTCATTTGAAACCATTTTCTTGAAACGACTTTTCTGGAGGTTTTACCGGCGGCCAATTATGCGCAGAGAAAAAATATAATTTATTTTATTCCTTAAGGATAGTTAAGTACCTATTTCATTCCGGTAGCTATGCGAAAATTGAGGCTATTTTTGTAAGATTCAATTAATCATATTTAATGTCATGGTAAAATTCTTAGTAGTAATAACATAAGGTAATATTGTACATAAATTAGTTACTTTGGACACGTAGCAATGTGTTCGTAGGTTTCAATTTTTTTTATTAGATATAGACAAAGGTCTAAAATTTTCAGCATTAACTACCTCGTTAGTACCAATATACCCTCAAAAAGTAATCCACATATCCTTCTGGGGTCGATTCACTATGCTTATTGTCCTATAGCCTTTTTAATATAGTTTATCAAATAATATTAAACATCAAATAAATGTAAGACTTACATTTAGTAGATATTCCCACAGAAAATCAATCCTATCGATTGGAATTTGTGGATCGAGAAAACGCGAAAACCTTCATTATCACATAAAGAACGCCACTCAACTATTAATTACTATGAACTATTAATTCGACTAGGCCAAAGAGCTTCCGCTCGGAAATAACACGAAAGCCTACGAAACAAGTGTTAGGTACGCGATTCGCTATAGGATGACATTCTTAATATCAAAAGGACAAGTTAATAAACACATATACAGTGTCTCACAAGAAATATTCCTTTCGTTTTATTTGACGTCAGGATTCAAATATATTTAATAACTACTGTAGAATACAGATCGTCAATATAATAATGATTGATTATTTAATTAATTTATTATTGACAAATGTACAAATAAATAGATTACTAATTTAAAAATTTAGAATAAACAATAACTACGTAATCGATATAACTTTTAAAAAGGTGGAATAAGGAACAAGTACGTTCTTATAAGTACAAAAGAAAATACAACGTGTAATTATACAACACGCTACTGAAGTGAAACTTCTTCAAACACACAAACATACCGGGATAGGGGTTAAGGAATTGGTTTAATGGTATTATTTGTACACTATGAATTTAAATTTTACACTATACATGCCGGAGTTGCCTGTAACGAACGTTGTATTGAAGCGCGCCACTGCTCAAGCGATCCCCACTACGAGACATCCGTTGCATGTTTTCGTTACATAGAAACTCGGATGAAACGAATTTACCCTACCGTGCGTAAAGAAGTTTCTCTTCAAAAATGTAGTTTTACTAGATAAATATACATAAACACAATGCACAACATGAAGGAAAAATGCGAAGTTTCGGGACTTACAGTGTGAAAAAAGTTAATTTTGCACTCAAAATAGTAAATAACTAATTGCACGAGAAAATTAGTGGTGAAACAAAATAGCCCCTAAACGATAAGAATCAGATAGAAAATACTTTTTTTTTGACAAAATATGAAGGTGTGGCTTTTGACGATTTTAAAAAGGGATAAATTTTGTCTTTTTTATTAGATTTTTAATATTTATCGACCTTTTTTTTGTTTTACTGCCAATTCTTAACAGTTTCGCTAAATCAAATTTTATAAATGTGTCATGTGAAATTAGTTACATATTGTGCTAAACTGTCTTCATTTTGTAACTTCTGGATCCTTCTAATGGGTCGAAGGTCGCATGCAACATATAATATTGAAAGTTAGACATAGATAAAATTGAAAGTTTCGGCATCCTAAATACGTTAAAAAAGAGTGCGGGGCGAATGGCTAAATGGCTCACGCCCGCGTGACTATAAATAAGATCAAACCTCTTTAATAGATAGAATCAACTGTGTTCAAATTAGTGAAAATTCAAGTGATGGAAAATTCCTGGTTTACCGTCAAACTTTTTAAGACTTCACTTGTGTATAGTTAATTCTTCCCGAACAATTTTATAAAGGAACAAAAGAACATTCCAGTTAGAAAAAATTTTTAGATATGTATACAAGTATGAGTTACGCTACCTACTCGAATTGTATTTTCGTGTAACTATGCATATATAATCGTGGGTGGTATCAGTAGAACCGTACATATGTCTACATGTACATAAAAATATTGAAAAAAATCACCGTCGCATTACTTGTTTAATAACGTACTTTACTAATTTATTTTTGATTAATTATATTGGTTTAGATCTAATCCTGACCGAATTAATTACACTATATTTACATATCTGTTGTTGAGTATTACATACGATGGATTATCTCGTTAAGCAAAGTGATATGGGGTGTAATTAAATTAATTTGTTAGTGTTCTACAACATCGTAAATTCCTCTTCAACGTAGGTAGGTACATACATATAAGCTATGTTAATCATTCAATTTAGGTAACCGCAGTGATGTTCTAAACTTTAACATTCCCTCCTAAAATTGTCTCTTTATATTAACGTAGTAGTAGTTTTTAAAAATTACGAAATTACTAATTTAATGTAGAAGAATTGTTGTAGGATTAAGTTCAATACATTAAAGTGAATTAATTTTAACGATAAGATAATCTTAACCTGACTTTACGCACTATTGCTCTACTACTAAGTTTCAAGAGGTGACACCAGCAACAATTTTTCATCATTAATTTGATGTCATCTATAATCGTAAAGATGTATTTAACAATTAATTCACTTTAATGTATTAATAATGTAGTTGTTAAAAATGACAAACAAACAATAATTTTATAACGAAATTCAAATTTGCACAGCCGGATGTTTGGCTGTTGGAGTTTAGCGGAAGCGGTTTCAGAATTCT